CAGATCGGGCAGTTTTTCAATTTGGGCGGCCCGAATCGACTTCGCCTGACCAGTTCAAACGTGCAATGGGCCGTACAACTGCTCTCGGGTGGCCCAAGTGTACATCGATCTCAATGAGGCTTAATATCTTCAATGTTTGCGACCTGTTGTTATATCCTCGTTATCGCTGGAAAGAATATCACCATTTGAATCCGGGTTCCGCGATCCCATTTGATAAGTGTTTAATGCGTACTTCATGCCCAGCGACTTATTTGGCGAAACTTTCGAAATAGGCGTTTCAGGCGGCGTGCAATTATTAAGTAGCATGAACAAACCATATTGGCCAAGATTCCATTCCAACATGTTCCCCCCCCCCCCCCCCACTGGAAAATCTATTCGTACCCCTGGGTACAAACGTTCCAATCATTTCTTCCAAAAATATTTCGCGGAAACATACCTCTTTTTTTCTGGGAGCATGAAAAGTATTTACTTTGTAAGGGCCGGCAAATTCCTGCCTACATCGGAACCTAGTCGCACTTGCTGTATTTGTGGGCTCGCCATTACCCCAGGTGTAAACAGGGGCGCTAGGCGTGTTGCGGAGCAAGAGTTCATTCGAAAGCAATGATGCGTTCCCCGTAAATGTTTGAGAATTTCCTCTTCTGGTTTGAGCGCCTCTTTTTCTGCACCGGTGCCAGCAATGCCCGTGGGGAAGCGCAGGCTTCTCAGTTTGACTCCGTCGTCTGTCTCACCTTGACGGCCGCCAAACCTTCTCATCCTCGACATCATGCCAAATAGGCATGATGTCGAAGGCGGTGTTCTGGTCCCACAGTCCAGTGCCGGCGAAGCCTTTCCCTCAGGTGAGATGATGCCGTAGGTATGAGAGAAAGTGCCACTCTTCGTGCCGTCGAAGGCCACCTTCCACTGGTAAGGCGAGGGGGTGGCGCGCCCCAGCCAGTGGGTGAAAGCGGGGTACGCATGGTCCAAAAACGAGCTGGCCCAAACCACACATGGGTCCGGTGCACAGTTAAATGGGTAACAGAAAGCATGGGAAACATGGTAAAGGTAACGTTTGGAACTTCCTAAAGTTCCGAAACTTCTAACTTCATCGCAGACATAGCTTACTCTCGCCATGGAAAACCAGCACTGCAAATGGCATGCTGACGCCAAAGCTGCATCATCCAGCTACCCGTCCGCGCAGCCCAGCCGGGCGCCGGCCACGTCAAGCAGGAGGGACCTCGTCGCTGACTCCAGCTACTCACTGGCGAGCTGACGGGAACGCTCCACATCATTCCGCGTCACCACTTGATACCTAGCGTTTTCTGTGGCTTGATCTGGTCCGGCTGCACCATGGTTCGGAAGCGGTGGTGCCAGCAGGCTGGGCCGGCTACCAACTGGTCCGAAAAGGACGTGCACTCTACGCCGTAGTGGCGACCAGCACGGTCAGAAGTTTCATGGTGGTAAATGGCGTCCGCCCAGCCCACAGTCCTTAATATAACCGCCGGCGCGCCCTTCGCTCCCCCCCCCCCCCTCCCCTGGCGCTGGGGGGTCGCGGTGTGTTGGGGAAATCGCTCGGGGAAATGGATTATAGGAGCGGCCTGAGGGCGGTACCCTGAAATACCCCTATCCCATTAGGAAGACTGCGAGAGCGCGCAGTATACCCTGAAGTATATCTGACCTGAACCTGTTGGGTATGCCCGCAAAGGTAGCTTTCAAACCACTTCGTGTCGATGTTGTATATCCTAAGCTTGGATAAGAGAAGCTGGTGGTCTACAACGTCAAAACATTGTGACAGGTCTATCAAAGCAAGCATAGTGATCTCCCCAGCATCCATCGCGTTGAGTATTTTATCAGTCACTACAGTAAATGCGGTCTCTGTTGAAAAATTCGTACGATATCCGTGTTGTGCATGCGAAAATAAATCATGCTCTTTAAAATATGAACTAAGGTGATGATGAACAATACGCTCGACTATCTGCTATCGCTGGCACTACAGAGATTGGCTTAAATTTGGTAGGATCGTTCAAATCACTGGTTTTAGGGAGCGCTGAGACAAGGGCGTGTTTCCAGGCGCTGGGCACCGTTCCGCCAATGAGACTGCTATTGATGACATCAAGTGAGGGGACAGCCGACACCACGAAAATACTTCTGTAAGAGCTTCGTATTAAGATCATCTAGCCCACAGGACGTCGTCGGGTTCATCGCAGACATAGCTGCAAGCAGCTCATTGCGTGACACAGGACGCACCTTAAGTGAGCAGGTCATAACTCTAGGGAGCCTGGCTGGCAAAACCGTGCCTCGATTCGCCACGCTGGCGGCAGTCGTAGGCCCTACCTTCACAAAGTAGCCATTCAGAGTATCAGGATGAACGTTAGGTGTGGCCGACGTACCCTGTTTACTGCCAGTGATCGATTTAACGCACCGCCACATGCCGGAATGACCTGCCTCAGAAATCTGCTTCCTAACATGATCGCGACAGTCCCGTCTAATAGCTGCCCGTGTCTGCTTATTGAGTGCCCTGTACTTAGCACGCAGACAGCACAGCTAGAGCGACGCGGCGACGAACCACCAACACACGCGTGTCAGCTGAGACGGGCGGGCGGATTGATTGCGCAGTTTAATGCGCCGAGCAGGCGCGACGGCATTCAAATGGGGTGTAAACACTCCTAGAAGAGTCCCACTTCTCAGAAGTCGTCGCACATCCATAGACGAGAGACCAGCCGGCGTTCACAAGCAAATCATTGAAATAATCAAAATCAACTCGATTCAGGCAGCGGGATATGATGACATTGGATTGGTGTCTCTCTTTCGATACTTTCAGCAATATTCGCGTGAAGTCATGCGGACTATAGTGACAGGCGGTGACACCACAGCGTTGGATGAGGTTCTTGTGATTTGTGATCGTTACATCTAACAGCGAGCCAGCAGGACGGTACGTTGGATAGGAATCGTTGCGCATATGCAGATTGTAAGACCGTAACAGTTGCATCAATTTCCGATAGCCAGTGCCTGTGCTCGAGCCAATCAGGTTGATTTTAAAATCACTGGCGGTCACTATTGGGCAGTCATGTGTGGACATTGTACATTGTAACTGGTTCTCAAAATCGTCGAGATCATCAGACACCTGCCGGGCTGTGTTAGTGGAATGTCAGTATAATGACCCGAACATAATCTGTTTTGCTTTAGCGGGTCGAACAAGGGTCCAAATAACCTCAAGATTCGATGAACCAACGGCAGTATGGGGCGTTTTCAGAACAGTCACATCAAACGAGTCTCGCGCCAGAACTGCAACCCCTCCGTAACCCCAAGGCAGACCGCTGTCTACAGGCCGGTCGTGTCTGTACAGCCGGTACCCATCAATACTCAGCAGTCGGGCGGGGACAGACAGCCGCAGCCACGTTTCACTGAGTGCGAGGATATCAAAGTAATGCATATCAGCTGGACGGTGACGTATATCTGGCAGTTTGGGCTTCAAACTTTGTATGTTTAACTGCGCCATGCATAGTTCACCCGCACGGCAATCGCTGGGCGCCCGCCAACTCACCCCTCCGCCACAGCCCCGGCGCCGCGATCGCTTGCCCCGGCGCCGCGATCGCTTGCCCCGGCGCGCCGGGCGGCTGTCATCTGAGTCAGGCCCGCGGCCACCACCTCACCCCTCCCCTACAGCCCCAGCGCCGCGATCGCTTGCCTCGGCGCGCCGGCCGGCTGTCACCTAAGTCAGGCCCTCACGCTCGCACCCAAGCCGGCCAGGGACACCCTGAGCTCGACCCTGGCCGCCGCGGTGACCTGGCGCGGTCCGCACTCAACAGCTGACCCCGCATGGCCCGAGGGCACGCGCCGAGCCGGGAGCCAGGGATTTGGGGCCGGCAGGACGGCCCGCACGATAACCTGGGCGACCGCCAAGGTCACCAATAGGCGGAGCAGCTGGCGATTCATTGCAGAACGCAGACACTAAGTAGGCAGATATTCCGTTATCGGTACTTAGCTTGACCACTCCAAAAATCTGGAACGGCGGGGTTTGTAGTCGCGTTGTTTACTCGGTACAAGAAGACTGAAGACCAGGCCAGCCTCTCATAGTTGGGACCCAGGCAGCCAGGCATGCTGGCAGGCATGCATGCAACCGCGGGCATGCGACGACATTTACCTTGACGCCAAACAAGGACAACTATCGCCGGGTGTGAACGATGCATGAATCCAAGGTCTGTATGTAGAATATTGGTGTTTATCATGGTAACAGAACACTGGTATTATGCTGGCTCAATGAATCACTGTTTCGTTGGTTGCCAATATTTTGTTTTACTTCTGTTTAAAACTGTAAGACGCACGGTGAATACAATGGCAAATGTGCTTGATTGCTGGCGTTGGAAAACCTAATGCTCTGTTCCTTGATACTTCCGATGCATTTGCTTTTGCTTTTGCTGAAAAGCCGCGTTATCTATGACCTCTAGCATCGGTTCTTTTGTATAGCATCATTTCTTGTTTTCTATTGCTGTTTTTCCTGCGCTCGTAGGACATTGGCGATGTCGGCTGGCGGGTGAAACACTGGAGGGCGGGGGGGGGGGGGGGGGGGGGGAGGGCATCGTTAGATTTCCGATTGCTGGAATCCCACGCGACTCATCCCAGGGCAATGACGTCACTGGTGGCCTAATGTGTCATTGGCCCCACTGATGCTGGCTCCATCGCCATGGCGTAGCGGAAGCATAGGGTAGATGCAGCATTAAAAATTACTGGAGGCAGGACAATTAATAGCCGCTCAAAGCTTGATTAGAGGCATCAAGTGAGGTCGTACTGATTCGCTTTATGTTTCCATTATCTTGCGAGCGGGTGCGTCGACTTTTCTAAATGATCGGCGGTAAGCCGAGGACCCAGGTGAGATGCTTTTTTGTGGTAGGGCGAGCCATTTCCCGTCTCTCCCCCAACAAATTAATTAGCGAAATTACGCTCTTACGAGGACCTACGAACATAACCAACCCCTAAATACGTTGCTCACCAGCTCTTAGGCCACTTAGGTCAAATTCAAAACCTCCACGCGGTACATTTAATAGTGAATATCCACAAAAACATGTGCATGCACGATATTCGAGCGCATACAAAATATCTGATAAGGAATTACACCAGAGTTTATGACGGCCACCTTACTGAATGCGGTCTTAAAACAGTGTGGACGATAATGAACCTCGAGCATGCTTAAACCGATATTCCGGACCGGTACCGAAAGCCACCTTCTGCCTCACCACACACTCAGCTGGCGCTGGCCAAGCTGGCTCTACCATTGACAGCGCACAGCACGTGAAACATGAAGTACGTCCCCGAACAGTAGCATCAGGACCACCGCAAGGCGACGCCAACACCGCACGACCGGATGACGCAGGTGACGGGCCACCACACGGCGCTGAAGACGCACCGCCAGATGACGCTAAAGATGCGCCACCAGACGACGCTGGTGTAACGCCGCCAGGGGACACCTGCACCCAGCCATCCGACGGCTCACGGACGCCCGCTGACCGAAGCGGCCCGAACCGTCATCTCCGGCTTCCTCGAAGGGAGGCCGCCGCTTTCTGCCCCGGTGTCTGATGTGAATATGTTACTGTAGATATGTAGACGTTTGAGGGCCGGCGGACGCAGCGTCTGCTGTGGTTCACGGCGACCACCAGTACTCAACACCCAGTGTTCCACCTCTACCCGGCCATTTTGAAGTACAGTCTTCCGTTGAAAGCCCACGTGTACCGTCTCGCATGCAGTTCTGCCGGCTTGAGAACACTACACATCTCATGCCCGGATATATGCTCGTATGCAGCGTACAGTTGCATTGTGAAAAGTTGTTGACGGCGATGACTGCGGTAGCCGTGGTGACCTTGGTGATGGTCATCATCATCATGATTATCATGGTGGTCATGATGGCGGTGGACGTAATCAAATGTGGATGTGGCTGCCACTCTTGCCTGGCGTGGCCACGGCCTTGAATATTGCCGAGTGGGCAGGGAACTTGGCCTCCATATCCTTGAGCGAGAAGTCCTTGTGACTCTCCATCGTCCAACCTGCAATGAAGAGAAATTGATACCACAATTTTTCGGGTTGTTCTCAGTCCTCATCAGCTGTGGTCTACGTATGGCTTTTCAATTAATAGGTAAGTACGATTACAAACCTGGGTAACGAATGTCTAAACAGCTTGATGTTCTAGCTATTTTGTTTTCGTTTATCTTCTTCATTTTGGCTGAGCTGCACCGTGTGTAGATACAGTCAACTAATGGTCGGCTTATATAGCGAGACAGTGTACCGTTGATTGACTTGGGCTCATGACCAATGTGCAGGTTTTTCAAAATGTCATGAACGTTTACTTCAGCGAGACACTGTCGGCCTAAAGGTTGTACTGGTTCGATGGCTCATGCACAGACTGTGTGTAAACCCAGGAGGCACCGATTCCTAGCTCCGGTGCGAAAAATACCACCTACCCGGGACACTGGCGAAGGAAATAAAGGCGTAGTTCTTATCCGAGGTAGACTCGACCATATAGAAGGTGAGCTTGGGGATGACGAAGACGAACTTCGCACCATCGTAGTTCAGAGGATTGCCAAGCACAACCTGTTTGTAGATTCCTCCATCCGCGAACATATGGAACTGGAACGCAGGAGTGTGATGAGGTTAAGGTTTAATACGACAGCGGCACTGCGATGCTCCAGTAGTAGTTTGCAGAACACCAAGTACCAAGGTCAGCCATACCCAAGATCAGGCAGTTTTTCAATTGTCGGTGCCCGACTCGACTCCGCCCGACCCGTTCAACCGTGTAATTGGCCGTACAACTGCTCTCGGATGGCCGAAGTGTACATCGATCTCAACGAAGCATTTTCGCACTCCTGATGCTCGCAACCTGCTGTTATATCCTTCTTACAGTTGGAAAGAATGTCACCATTTGAATCCAAGTTCTACGGTTTCATGTGAAAAAGTGTCTTATGCGTACTTCATGCACAGGAAAGCTATTCGGCGAGATTTCCGAAATAGCGTTTAAGGCGGCATGCAATAATTAAGCAGCATAAGCAAACCATATTGGCCGAGTTTCCATTGCAACATGTTCCCCTTACTGGAGAAGCTATTCGTGCCCCTGGGTACAAGTGTTCCAATCATTTCTTCCAAGAACATTTCATGGAAACGTAGCTCTTCTGCATGGAACACCAAAGGCATTTATTTACCTATGTAAAGGCGTCCAATTCCGGCGTATACGAGAAGCTATTTGTACGTACGTGTTTGTGGGCCCGCCATGATCCCAAATGTGGAAAATCTTTACGCGTCCATAAATATTTAACATTTCCGGTTCTCAGGTTTGAGTGTCTGTTTTCGCGCAGCGGTGCCGGTGATCTTTGTGGAGAGGCGCAAGCTTCTCCGTTTGACCCGACGTCTGTCTCACCTTGACGGCCGCCCCATCATGCCAGATGGGTATGTGGTCGCAGGCGGTGTTCTGGGCCCACAGTCCAGTGCCGTTGAAGCCTTTCCCCTCAGGCGAGATGATGGTGTAGGTATGAGAGAAGGTGCTCCTCTTCGTGCCGTCGAAGGCCGCCTTCCACTGGGAGGGGGGAGGGGAATGTGTGCTCCAGTCAATGGGTGAAAACGGGGTACGCTTAGTTAAAAAACGAGGTGGACCAAATCACACACAGGTCCAGTGCACGGATAGATAGGGGGCCGAAAACATGGGAAACATATTGAAAGTTAGAGTTTGGAACGTCTAAAATTCCGAAACTTCTAGTGCCTTATTCCCGCCCTGGAAAACCAGTACTGGCATGCTGACGCCAAAGCTGCATCATCCAGCTACCCGTCCGCGCAGCCCAGCCGGGCGCCGGCCACGTCAAGCGGGAGGGACCTCGTCGCTGACTCCAGCTGCTCACCGGCGAGCTGACGGGAACGCTCCACATCATTCCGCGCCACCACTTGATGCCTAGCGCCTTCTGCAGCTTGATCCGGTCCGGCTGCACCATGGTTCGGAAGCGGCGGTGCCGGTAGGCTGGGCCGGCGACCATCTCGTCCACAAAGGACGCCGCGCACTCTACGCCGAGGTGGACGACCAGCGCGCACGCGCACAGCACGGTCAGAAGCTTCATGGTGGTGAATGGCGCCCCCACCGCCCGCAGTCCTTATATATAGCCGTCGCTGCGCACTCACCATCCCCCTCCCCTCTGCGCCGGGGGGGGGGGGGGGGCGAGGGGGCTGCGGTGTGTTGGAGGCTCACCGGCTGTCAACGGCGCCTGGTATCGCGGACGCAGGCGGGCACTGGCACGGATCGGTCAGGATGGCGGCGGGCGGAGCCGAGCGCCACACATGCCGCCACGCCGTTGGCGTGTTCTTCCCTCTGCCGATTCCCTTGCCGTCTGCTGCGCCGATGGAAGGCTACCGTGCTGTCACTTGAGTCCTCTCTCGCAGAGGCCTCAGACAGAGGAAATGGTTTTGACGGAACGCTCCGCTCCGTGCAAAGGAACTTTACCTCGTTAGGAAAGAATCTTAGTAAAGTCATCACAGTCGGACGCTCTCTTCCGGACAGGAGGGAGCTGTCTGTGACGTCCCGTGTTTATACGCACCGGTGGCATATCCCTTTTGAATGCAGCGTCATTGTCATACACCACATCGGCCACTTTGTGTGATCTTGCTCATGATACTTCGCAACGGAAGTATACGACGTTCGTTCGGATAACCTGGCAAGATAGCCAAACTTGATTGACCTAACAAGGCCATAGTCATTTGTGAAGCTAGGCTGTTTTCTTGGAGAGAAAATTTGGACGTCAACATGGGCTCAGCAAGATGAGCTGTGCTAATAATCACAATCATATGCTCTCCGACATTCAATTTTAGCTTTGAGCTAAGGTTGGGGTTATGAAAAAAATTGTACCGCGAAGTCAGAATGATGCATACATACATGTGTTTTGAAAATCACGAATTTCACACACTCACACTCAACTGGCGCTGACCCACCCGGCTCTGCCCTTGACAGCGCACAGCAAGTGAAGCATGGAGAAGTACGTCCCAGGATAGAAGCATCAGGACCACCGCAAGGCGACGCCAACACCGCACGACCGGATGACGAAGGTGGCGGGCCACCACACGGCGCTGAAGACGCACCGCCAGATAACGCTAAAGACGCGCCACCAGACGGCGCTGGTGTGGCACCGCCAGGCGACGGACGCGTATTGAAACGTCCAGAGTTCATAAAGTCCAGTGGTCAAAAAGTCCATGCGCGCGGCGCGAACGCGACACCTGCACCCAGCCATCCGACGGCTCGCGGACGCCCGTTGACCGAAGCGGCCCGAACTGTGAGCTCCGGCTTCCTCGAAAGGACGCCGCCGTTTTCTGCCCCAGTGTCTGATGTAAATATGTTACTATAAATGTGCAAATCTTTGAGGGCCGGCAGACGCAGTGTCTGCGGATGTTCACCGCAACCACCAGTACTCAACACCCAGTGTTCTACCTGTACCCGGCCATCTTGAAGTACAGTCTTCCGTTGAAAACCCACGTGTATCATCTCGCATGTAGTTCTGCCGGCTTGAGAACACTATACATCTCATGCCCGAAGATATGCTCGCATGCAGCGTACAGTTACATTGCGAAAAGCTGGTGGCGGCGATGACTGCATTGGCCGTGGTGGCTGTGATGGGGTCATCATCATCAGCATGATCATCATGGTGGTCGTGATGGCGATGGCCGTGATCAAAGGTAGATGTGGCTGTCACTCTTGCCTAGAGCGGCCACAGCCTTGAATATTCCCGAGTGGGCAGGGAACTTGGCCTCCATATCCTTGAGCGAGAACTCATTGTGAGTCTCCATCGTCCAACCTGCAGTAAAAAGAAATTGACACTTCAGTTTTTCGGCTCGTTCTCAGTTCTTATTAGCTGTACCTACGTATGGCCTGTGTACTAATGGATAAGAACAATAGCAAACCTGGGTAATGGACGGCTAAACAGCTTGATGCTCTAACCATTTTGCCTTCGTTTGCCTTCTTCATTTTGGCTGAGCTACACAGTGTGTAGATCCAGTCAACTATGGTTGGCTTGTGGATTGATTTGAGCCCATAACCTATGTGCATGTTTTTCAAAATGTCATGCATGTTAGCAAAACAATGTTGGCCCAAAGGTTGCACTGGTACGATGACTCATACACAAACTGTGTGTAAACCCACGAGGCACCGGTTCATAGCTGCGGTGCGAAAAATACCACCTACCTGGGACAAGGGCGAAGGACAGGAAAGCGTAGTTCTTATCCGAGGTAGACTCGGCAATGTAGAAGGTGAGCTTGGGGATGACAAAGACGAACTTGGCGCCATCGCATTTCAGAGGATTTCCAAGCACAACCTGCTTGTAGATTCCTCCCTTCGTGAACATATGAAACTGGAACGCAAGGGTGTGATGAGGTTAAGGTATAATACAACGACAGCGGTATTTCAGTGCGCCAGTGGTACTTTGTAGAGCATCAAGTACCAAGAAGAGTATCAGACCAGCCATACCCCAGATCGGGCAGTTTTTCAATTTGGGCGGCCCGACTCTCTCAACTCGGTCCGACCAGTTCAACCGTGCAATGGGCCGTACAACTGCTCTCGGGTGGTCCAAGTGTACATCGATCTCAACGAAGCATGAGCGCTTCTGATGCCCGCAACCTGTTGTTACGTCATTCTTACGGTTGGAAAGAATGTCACCATTTGAATCCAAGTTCTACGGTTTCATGTGATAAAGTGTTTTATGCGTACTTCATGCACAGGAAAGCTATTCGGCGAGATTTCCGAAATAGCGTTTAAGGCGACGTGCAATAATCAAGCAGCATAAACGAACCATATTGGCCAAGATTCCATTGCAACATGTTCTCGTACTGGAGAAGCTATTCGTGTTCCTGGGTACAAGCGTTGCAATCATTTCTTCCAAAAACATTTAATGGAAACATGTCTCTCTTTCCTTGGAACATCGGACGCATTTACCTCTGTAAAAGCGGTCAATTCCTGCGTACATCAGAAACTATGCGTGCTTATGTGTTTGTGGGCTCACTATGACCCCAGATGTTAAAAATGTTTAAATGTCCATCAATGTTTAAGATTTCCGCTTCTCCGCTTTGAGCGTCTGTTTTCGTGCGCCGGTGCTGGCGATGTTTGTGGAGAAGCGCGAGCTTCTCTGTTTGACCCGTCGTCTGCCTCACCTTGACTGCCGCCCCATCATGCCAGATGGGCATGATGTCGGAGGCGGTGTTCTGGGCCCACAGTCCAGTGCCGGCGAAGCCTTTCCCCTCAGGCGAGATGATGCTGTAGGTGTGAGAGAAGGTGTCCCTCATCGTGCCGTCGAAGGCCGCCTTCCACTGGGAGGGGGAGGGGGTGGCGTTCTCTAGTCAGTGGGCGAACGCGGAGTACGCTTGGTTCACAAACGAGATAGATCAAACCTCCCATGGGTCCAGGGCACAGCTAGACAGATAACAGAAAATGTGAATGACATAGTAACAATGAAAACATAGAAAACATTGAGAAGCGGAGGCCATAGTAAAAGTTAGCGTTTGGAACTTCTAAAATTCCGAAACTTCTAGTGCCTTACTCTCGCCCTGGAAAACCAGCATTGGAAATGGCATGCTGACGCCAGAGCTGCATCATCCAGCTACCCGCCCGCGCAGCCCAGACGGGCGCCGGCCACGTCAAGCGGGAGGGACCTCGTCGCTGACTCCAGCTGCTCACCGGCGAGCGGACGGGAACGCTCCACATCATGCCGTGCCACCACTTGATGCCCAGCGCTTTCTGCAGCTTGATCTGGTCCGGCTGCACCATGGTTCGGAAGCGGCGGTGCCGGTAGGCTGGGCCGGCTACCAACTCGTCCACAAAGGACGCCGCGCATTCCACGCCGAGGTGGACGACCAGCGCGCACGAGCACAGCACGGTCAGAAGTTTCATGGTGGTGAATGGCGCCCCCACCGCCCGCAGTCCTCATATATGGCCGTCGGCGCGCCACTCGCCCCCCCCCCCCTCGCCTCCCCCGCCGCTGGGAGGGGGGGGGGGGGGGGCAAGGGGGCTGCGGTGTGTTGGATGCTCACCGGCTGTCAACGGCACCTGGTGGCCTCTGACAGAACGGGCCGTGCCGAGCACTGCGGTCCGTTCGACTTCCGCCACTAAATTCCGTCGTCGCCTTGAATTGCGCGATGGGATGGCAAGAGTTAGGCTTACACAACAAACACTGCTTGGCGTAAGCTCTGATCCTAAAAATCCATCCGTTGAAAAGGTTCGGATCAAACTTTAAAGAAAGAGTAAAACAAAAACGGCAGGATCGAGCCAAGCCATGGCAGCGCGAGGCCGTCTCACGAATCACCTGGGAACAAACAACCTATAACAGCGTCTGGGGATGTAGAACTTTCTGTCCATCCAGGTGAGAACAGGTCTATCTATTTTCTTTCACACAAATGCTCGATGGGTAGGATGAGCATGCCTCCCCTCCCCATCCGCCTTCATGTGTCTACGCGTGATAATGGTGGCATTTGTATGCAAGACTTACGTTGGAATCGTTGAAAAATATCGTTGAACACACAACGGCTCAAATAGGGACGAAGAAAATTGGTTGCTGATATGGAAAACGCGACAGACCGCTTGTCCACTGGTCGCCGACTTTTTCCCAAAAAGTTATTTTATTGTACAAGACGCAGTCCGGTGCTACTACTACCCAGACACTCAAGCGACTTAACCAAATGCTACCATTCGCGATATGTTTTAAAAAGACCAATTGCCTTCCCAGCAAAATGACCTATCAGCATTAATGATTACACCCATTCAACAGACGCAGCACACATTTGCCAGGAAAATGTGCCACCGATGCTACATAAATCGCATACAAGTCAAAAACACGTTGATTGCTCTACCTAGGCCGTCTGATTAGTTATAAAACAAGTATTGCTTCTTCAACATGCGTCACCACACTGAGGATTTAAGCCTTAACTGTCTATCGCATTTCCTTCTTCCCCTTCATGGGAAATAGCCATGCAACGAAGTTGTGTTTGCGGGGGGGGGGGGGGCACCGTTAAAGGGTAGATTTCATATTCGAAGATGCTGCAGTGGGCAGCAAATATCATGAAATAAGCTTACTTAAAGCTGTTGGTGTGATTTTTAGTACAAAAGACTGCTCTAGACCCTACAATTTCTCTGTTTAGGAAATATGCTCCCAAATACGTCATTGATTGCGTCGTCGTGCCTTGCATAGTACTGATTGAGAGCCAATGGGCGGCCTTTACCTCGGCAAGTTGTGCTCACGAACGTCAATTATGAACGACTCCATCAGTTTATTTTTGTATCGGCCTTGATTGCCGCATGGCTTATGAAATGACAAGATTTGAATGACGTTATCATGACGTCATGAATGGCAAGGTGTTCTTGAAATACTCTCCCCCAAATACTTCTCCATTTTCGCGGGCGTATAGCTCAGAAACCATAGGGAATCAATCTTAAGAATAGCTGTAACCGAGGTTTAGGGCTGTGAAGTAGGGCTGTGAACTGCACCGAAAGGTCTTAAAGATGGCTATTTCAGTAAAAAAGATAAATGTGGAACACTCCTTTTAATCGCCTGGCCAGATGCAGCATCTGTAAGGTGTAGATCAGCAACAAATCCTGCCCCACAGGACGTGTTTCGCAGCTGCACCGACCGTATTGCATGTTAGTGCACACATACATTATACACGCCGTTTATTAAGTGCTCTAAGGAGCACAATACGAAGAAGCACGTATTTGTGCGTTCCTGTCATAGGTGATCTGGCATGTATATACGCGCGCAGTATCTTTCTCCGAGTAATCATGCAGCTCATCCTTTTGTAATTTACGTAGTTTAACCTTACCGATTCATTCCCATTGGTAGGCACACTTTTCATATATGTCACAGCTGGCTGGTTAATTGATGTGATTTCGCAAAAATTACCATATTCAGTCCCCTGTGGCGCCTGAACGAAAGAATGTAACTTCAAAGTCCGAACACCATTATGACCGCGTATTTATATAACATATGCAAGTTTCATAACCTTAGGTCGCTTATGAGTGGTGTGGCGAGTTGATTTGTAAAACGGGCAATTCTATCCTACTCGGGTGTAACCTACGATTGAACCATCCGTCTTCCGAATATGAACTAATCGAACATAATTCAGCATCCATGATTCGGAAAATGCTCCGAATATGGTATGGTATGGTATGGTATACTATTCGGCGGTCACGGATGTTAAGCGACCGGCCGCAACAACGATTATTTCCGCAGGCGAAGCAGTAGATAGGTCATTACGTATCACGTTAGTATGATTGGACGTAGCGCTACTTAGCCTAGAACAAAATAATGCAGCTGTCTGAGGTGTTTTGTGTTATTGCTTACCTACACGCAATGTCAACTGATGGAGTTTCAAGTGTTTCAACCACGCTCCACCTACGACATTGTTATGAAAAGTGTACACCCATAAAACAATAAAGTGCTCAGCTAGTGAGTCAAATGTTTTCACCTAATCAACAGCTATCTGCTGGTCAAATAGCTAACAATATAGCATCAAGACAAGTGAAGTGCAAGTTTATCGCCAACAGCCTCTCATCCAAACTACCGCGTTTCACTCACTTATCCTATAATACATCATCCTATTTAAGGTTCAATTTACGCTCAGCTAGCGCACGGTTTATCAAAACCACGTCAGCCTGCTGTTGGTCGGCAACTAGCTCGCACTATTTTGGTTGTAACTATGTCCAAAGAATTCGAATATATGATTATTTAATCACAAAAGGTTTTCCTGCAATGTTGCATTATGGTAATAACTTCATCTTTCTCATTCGAACAATTTTTAGCTACCGAAAACCTGAAAGACCTTTATTAAAACCAGAGCAAAATCTTCACAAAATCCCCTTACAGCGGCATGCGATAAATGGCTGAGAAGAAGTAAATAGGAAAGGGAAGGGAGGAAGGGAGGAAGCAAAAGTGTGGGTCGATGCGTGCATGCGGGTGATATCCGGACGATACATGCAGGCGTGTTAAAAGATTAATGTCAGATATCGGCTGTCGGAACAGATACAAGCTCACTGAAACTCACTGCACAGTGCAGGTAAAGATCTTCGAATCGCTAGGCAGTATAAGCACCGTCTGACTTATGGGTACGCCGGCAGCCGACGGAAAAGCGAGCAAGGTTATCTTTTACAAAACTGTCCTGGACTATACTATGATGTGGCTGAACCATGGCATGATGGTTCAGCCACAGGATGATCTTCTTTGATCTTCCCAGTAGTGACGTCGCCATGGAAAATGTCGCCAAAGTGAACTGTAGATGTTGGGACAAGCCATTTTATAATATAACTTCGTTCAGGTGTAAGAAGCTCATCAAGTGTAAGCCCGGACGCTTTTTTGCCGCAACTTAACATGATATTGACGGCGCAAATTCTTGGTTGCAGAATACCATATGACAAGAAAATTGGGCAACAAGTTTTTTATTTTGGCGTGGCATCGATAATGCAATTCATAGGTCCAGTTTAATTACAAAATGAAAAATGGCACAGGAAAACGAAAATTTACCGGGACAGACTTTTAACCTGATTGCGTGGTGAACACAGCTCATTGCTAGCACTCTGAACACATCATCCCAATATTGAAATATATTTTCAACATTTTGGCCATCACCCACTTAGCCTCCATCCCTTATTCAAATAGCACAAAAAGACCTTTATGCGCCAACATCCATTTTGCCTCGGTCCCTTATTCAAAAAGCACAAAAGGACTTTTACCGTGACATGCGACTACACGACTGTCGGCTGCCCTGCATCCAGGCTGATGCTATTAAGCCGTCAAGCCTAAAAGGGTTTCAAAGAATTCTCACTCATGGACATGGCGACCAAGTTCCCTGATCTCTTGGAAATAGTTTAAGGCTCTGGTCACGCCAAGCATCAGCAAGAGCGGCCACCACGACCACGATAATCACGGCCAGCACCATCATAACCACCATGGTGATGATGATGATGATGACGATGATGACCCATCATCATCCATGCTCATCATCGTCATCTACCACGGTCAGCCATCGCCATCCAAGCTTTTCACAATGCAATAGCGCGCTGCATACGAACATAACTTTGGCTCAGTGGCCACGTTCATTGCTCACTTCTCACATAAACAAACCTCGATGGCAAGAGCGAACACCATGCACAGGATGTGAAGTCTCGAGGCTCGTATCACCGGCGGAGAGGGCGAGAGTCAGGCATCGGGGCTTCGCCTCATCGACGAGCAACGAGCCTCCTTGGTAGGCAGGGCTTTTGACGCTCCTTTCCGGGACGCCGCCAATGACGTTCGTTGAACGGTGCTGAGGTCAGCAACGGTACTTACTACTAGTAATAAGCATATTTATTTGATATTTCCTTCTATTTAGTGTGCGAATGAAGGCGAAAATGAGTAGAAATGAGTCTTGGGCAAGACATCGGGACAAACACTGATCTGAGAGGGTTTGGAAAAGCGCTGTCACCACTTATATGTGGCGTCAGCACTGATACAATGTGCTATCCCAATTAAAGGTATCCTATTTACAATCGATTGCTGCCTCAGGTTGCTCATGCAGCAATACGTTTATGTTTCGACCGATGTTTTGCATAATTTCATGCTGTACGCCTTAGCGGTTACCTAATTTTAGGTTTGCTCTTACTGGGATGGGCTGATGTACATTTTTACAATTCTGGCACTAAGAAGGCAGTGTCTGTTTTGCTATCGATCATGTCCGGCAAATCGGAAGCGTTTTTTCACCCGCCGAATTGGTCGTTTATAACAAGCTACATCACCATCGTTTGTTCATCTACGCTAATGTGGATACAAAAAGAAAAATAGGAGGCTTAAATATTTTGGTGTCTATTCTGCACCGCCTCGTTTTATAACCACTGAATCGTTACGCTCAATGTTTCACGCTGCATT